GACAGCCATGCTGCACAAGACTGCCCCGTTTGTGGGGCTCATGGTGCTGGGCACCTACATGTGCCCATTTGGGAGTTTGTGGATGTCAACAAGGACCTGGAGTGCTTTGTGAGGTCGATGGAGTTCACTGTGGCTCAGTTCAACGATGCCAGCACAGAGGGGCAGGCGTATGGGTTGCTGGATGGCGGCTGAGCCCAGCGGAAGGTGAGTGGCAGTGACTTGGTCCCTTCCTAGGGCTCTGCTCTACGTGGGGAGCCTGTACCAGGCAAGAGATACAGGGACCGGGAACACGGCCACAGTTTCAGGTCCTCCCTCTGGCACAAGACATGGTTACCCCAGGACTTTTGCGTGAGCCTGGTGCGGCCTCCATGGGTGGATGCCAGGCCTGGGTCCCCGAGACCACAGGAGTCCTTAGCATGGATGACTCTGCTGGCCATACTGCACCTGTCGCATTTGGTGGGGGCCAGGCCAGGCTGCAGGCGTGGGAAGCACAGAGGGGCATTGGCTGTGCGAGTAGGTGTGATACTGTTTGTGAGTCAGGAGCAGGTGTGTGAGTACTCTTGGTACCAGCTGTGCATGTGTGTGTGTATGTGTGTGCGTGAGTGTGTGGCACAAGTGCATGGCTGTGTGAGCTGTCTCATGTGAGTGTGCAAATGTGGTGTCAGGTGTTTCAAGCCTGAGCGTGGGAGTGTGCTGGCACGTGTCAGGCAGCCGTGGGTGAGTGTGTGTCAGGCATGAGTGGGTATTAGTGTCCTGTGGTTAGACGCTCAGTGCCACACAGTCAGCCTTCCAGGCAATTTTTAAAAAAGATGTATGTATTTTTATTGGAAAGTCAGACATACAGAAAGGAGGAGAGACCAAGAGGAAGATCTCCCACCCACTGATTTCTCCCCAAGTGGCTGCAATGGCCAGAGCTGAGTAGATCTGAAGCCAGGAACTTCCTCCAGGGCTCCCACGCAGGTGCAGGGTTCCAAGGCCTTGGGCCATCCTTGACTGCTTTCCCAGGCCACAAGCAGGGAGCTGGATGGGATGCGGGGCAGCTGGGATATGAACCAGTGCAGTATTGCGTCCTGGTGCATGCAAGGCAATGACATTAGTCGCTAATCTACTGCTCCAGGGCCCAAACAATTTTAAAAATATATTTGTGTGTGTGTGTGTGTGTGTGTGTGTTAAAGGCAGATTTGCATATAGAAGGAGAGAGAGAGAGAGAGAGAGACTCTCCCATCCACTGGTTACTCCCCAAATGTCCTCCATGGCCATAGCTGGGCCAGACTGAAGCCAGGAGTCAGCAGCTTCTCCTGGGTCTCCCATGGGGGCGCATGTGGGCTGTCCTCCAGGCTTTCCCAGACAGATTAGCAGGGAGCTGAATTGGAAGGGAGTAGTGGGACTTGAACCAGTGCCTATGCACTTGTCACACCATGGTGCCGACCCTTTTCCCAAACAGTTTCGTGTTAGGTCTGCGCCCCCTCCCCACCTGCACGAGGATCCAGGGCTGGATCAGAAGGTCCTCATTCTGGAGGCCGACCTACTTCCCTCAGCTTTCTTAGAGACGCACGACAAATGTGGGCAGCAGCAGGGAATGCTCATGGCTGCCACTCCGTGAATGTGGGCCAGCTGGCACTGCGCACCCCAGGCCCTGCACAGGCTCCCCAAGGGAGACCACAGCTCTCACCTCCAGTCTGAGGCTTAGTCCTACCCTCTCCTTGATCCTGCAGGTGCCTCTTGTGTCTGGCTGGTGCTGCAAGGTGGACACATGGAGTGCTCTCATCAGCAGGTGCTGGGAGCCCGTGCAGGTGCCTCGCTGTGATGCAAATGTGCAACCAACAGCACATCTATTCCCTGCCCCATCTTGTGACGTTGGCCTCAGCCATTGGGAAGGCTCCACTGGGGTTTGAAGCACACGAAAGGACATGGAGCTGTTGACCCACCACAGTTTGCACCTGGTGTGAAGTGTGTCTCAGCACAGGCATGTTGCACTCTGTAACCCACCGTCCCCCTGGCGCTCTGCCTCTCTCCTCAATCCTGAGTTGCAGATGTTCGCCAGCTGTCTGCATCCGTTCTTCTTGACACATGTGCATAGCCATGTTTCTGATGGAGCTGGGGCTGCGCCTCATGATTGACAGGAAGTGCGACGGAGACATCGACAGCTATCTGCTGCCAAGTGTGCAGGAAAAACAAGGGTTGTGGGAAATGATCAGCCTGAGAGTGGCACGGTGCATCTTGGGAGAATGAAAGGCCTTGGGCAGATGCTCGGTAGAGCCTCAGGGCAGGCAGAGGGCTCAGGACCGCTGTTTCACTCTTGAGTGGGGTGGCGTGCGTAGTACTATGTCACCAGTCACTATGCTTTTTCACTGGCACCTCTGCTTTTTCTGAATCTCTCTCTTGCTTGCCCCACCCCAGGCCTAGAGAAGTGGAGACAGAGGCCGGCGTTCTTGGCGCCAGGCTTACCCATCAGCCACAGCAGCACAGGTCCCTAGCCATGAGCCATGCCAGGCGGTTAGGAGACCACGGGGACAGGTGTCTCCTTTCTTCATGTCCTGACTGTGAGGGCAATGGAAACCCAGCTGCTGTCCCTGGTAGACGGGCCCCCGCCGTAAGCGCCTGCACTTCGGACAAGCGTTCACACATACGCTCGCAGTAAAGTCAGAGTTGTCCACACTTGGCTCGGGGAAGGTATCCCTGAATCCCTAGGAGCACCTCCGGAGAGAGGGCGAATCAGCCCGAGGCAGGAACCCTCCTGGAGGAATTCAAGGCCACAGAAGAAGAGGGGACAGGACTGTATCCCAATCGTGCCAGCCCATATGTTCCTTTGCATGAATGCCCACGTGCGGTTGGTTCCTTTACTTGAAATCAGAAGACAATGACTTTCTGCTGTCCCTGCCAACCCCTCAGTCACCAGCGTGTAGCCTATCAGAGCCACCATCCGCCTGGCAGCCTGTGCCACACAGCTCTGTGTGCTGTGAGGCTCCCTTTCCCGACCCCAGTCCCAAGAGTGGAGGCCACAGTCGGGCTCTCTGCTTGCAGATGCCCCCGGACCCTGTGTGCCACAAACCAGCCCCTTGTGACGGAGCCAGCGGGTCGCTGCTCCTAGGACGTGAACTCTGCATCTCTGGTCTCCTCTGCTGGTAGAAGTGCTCAGACCATGGTCCACTTTGCTCCTGGCTGCTACAGTTCAGAAAACCTTGGTATCCGAACTGCAAACATCTCCACCTTCCCCTCCCCCCTATTTTATGTTGTAGGCCATCTCAGGGTTTTGCTAGTGTATATGTAATATAAAAGCAGTCTGTCAAGTTGTTTAAAAAAAAAAAAGCAAGTTGGGATGAGTATTAGAGATTTTTAAAAGATTTATTTTATTTGGAAGGCATAGGTACAGTGAGGAGACACTGCCCAGGTGACTGCAATGACTGGACTGGGCCAGGAACTTCACCTGGCTCTCCCAGATGGGTGCAGGACCCCAAGCACTCAGGCCATCTTCCACTGCTCTCCCAGGGAGCTGGATCAGAAGTAGAGCAACCAGGACTTGAACTGCTGCCCCCATGAGCAGCAGCTTAACCTGTTAAAGCTGTAATAGTGGCCTGTTGAAATAATTATCAATCTGCCAATCAGAGAAGTGAAGCCATTAAAATTCTCCAGTTCTTCACACCTCCTGAGATGGGACATTTTTACTGCTGCCAAAAAACAAGTGACCTGCTCTGTCCCCAGAATCCAGCCTGACCTGTGATCTGCCTGAGCCTGGAGCCTGGCATGGAAGGCAGGCTCCCCCGGCCCCCACAGGCCCCCACAGGCCCCCACAGGCCCCCACAGGCTCCCCTGGCCCCCACAGGCCCCCACAGGCCGAGGAGGAGGGTGGTGACATCGCGGGCTCCAACAGCGCCAGGGTGAGCAATTCTGACTTAATTACACTTTTCAAATTTTGTTCATTATGAATTTTGCATCAATTCTGATCATTTAAAATATTGCATTCAGATAGTACTACCTTTATTATTATCATCATCATCATCATTATTATCTTGATTGTTTTGGGATACCCTTATATTTCATACCCAGCTGCCTCGCTTATTCACTCAGCTTTCATCCGGGTCCTGCTCTCACCCAACCCTCCCCAGCCGTCACATAAATGAACCTGGAAAACCACAGGCCCCAGCCCAGCACCTCTGGCCCCAGCCCATAGCCAGCCAGCCCTGGAAGACAAGGGTCTGCAAGTCGACAAGGGAGCCTGGCTGAGTGCAGCCCCATCCGCCCATGCGCAGTCGCAGCAGCTGCAGGACATAGAAGACCAGCCCTGCAATGCCTCTCGCACGAAGCAAGGATAGAAGAATCAAGTCAGGAGGTGCAGGCACAGGGGTTGTTCAAACCCGGACCCAACCGGAGCTGGGAGCCCTGGCTGCTGTGGGAAGCTCTGCCCACCACCCACCAGCCCTAGGCCTTCAGGGTCCCCCAGGGGCTTCAGTTCATCCATAGAAAAGGTCCAAGGACAGCAAGCCCTCCTGCTGTCTTGTAGTCTGGGGTCAGTTTTCTAAAGTTCTGTCCCCAGCCGGGTGATGTCCCAGGCAGGGCTGCAACCTCAGGAGGAGGAGGGTGGAGGCGAGAGGAGGTCAGAAAGAAGGCCACAGCCCAGGGAGTGGTGGGCTTGCTGTGGAGCGTGGTCACAGCACCTGCTGTCCTCCACCCGCAGGAGGTGCAACAGGCTCCCACGACCACAGCCCCTGCCGGTGCCCAGCACGACCCAGCCTCCTCAACAAGAAAGCGGAGTTTTCATCACTGGAATGGCCAGGGGGTGCCAGCAAAAAGATCTTGGTTTCCGGACCTGACCTGCTGAGAATAAAGTGGAGGAGAGAATGAGCCGTCATCCCGGTGCACTAGTCCCAGGCTGCAAACCTTCCCCAGGGGACCAACCCCCCAGGAAGAGCCCCATCTTCTCCACTCCAGCCTGGTCTCCATGACAACAGCTTCCCCAAGAGGTCCCATCTTATTTCCATAAGAACATGAGCCCAGCCACCTCAGAGAAGGGTGTAGCAAGCTAAGGGACAAAAGGTATGGGAGCAGGGGGTGAGCCGTGGAAACAGGAATGTCCCACATCAGGGTCCCCCTACCTTGGGGCTCAGGCGGGTCTACACAGCACGGCCCTCTCAGGGTGGCTGCTGGGCCTTGGCAGGGTTTTCAGGCTCTGAGAATTATCACAGAGGGTGAACACTGTGCCTAGGGCAGCTGGCAGAGCCCATGGGACAGGGTGGGATAGCTGCCAGGTGGGTGGGTACCAAGTGCAGAAGAAGGCAGAGGACAGAGCCTTTCCCCTGTTCGCCTTCCACGCTGCTTCTCCCCTGCTTCACTCACCATGTGGCCGGGGCTCTCCTAAGGCTGTGGGGTCCAACTCCGTGTGAATGCTGCCCAGGGGGTGCTCCTGCCCTGCACTGTTTTTGGGCCTGAGCGGGAGGATAAGGGGGCGGGAAGTGGCACCTTTGCCATGGCTCCTGGTGGCCGCTTCCCTGCAGCATGGCACCCAGCCCAAGTTCAGTGTGCCCGAGTTTGCACCCTGCTCCAAGTCCCTCTCCCCACGGCCTTCCTGGTCCCTTCTAAAGGAGCCCTGGCAAGTGGCCTTGCAGAATACTCAGGCCAAGGCAGAACGGCTGGCACCTCCTCCCTGTCCCCCGCCACCATCCTGCACCCTCCAGGTGTTGGCACAGTTCAGAGGACAGGAGCCCCTGCTGTCCTTGTGGATGCAGTCCCTCTGTCGCGCCTCCTCCAGCAGTGACCAGCCAAGCCCCCGACTCTCCTTCTGGGCCCACAGAAGCCTCACTCCCAGCTGGAGAAGCTGGGGATGGGGCAGAAGGGTAGCGGGTTCCGTGGAACATATGCTGCTGCATTAGGGCAAAGTCAAGGTGAGGCAGTCATGGCTGGAGAGACCAGGAGAGGCAACAAGCAAGGATTGGTAGCTTGGGAGTTTGGGGACTTGGGGGGTTGGTTGCTTGAGGGCTTGGGGTATTCCCTGAGTGCTGCTGGGGTTGGGACTGTTATCCATTGCCAAGGGAGGGACTACCCTCTGCACCTGAGGCTAAAGCCAGGGCCCAGGGCAAGGGCCCAGAGCCCTTGCAGCCTGGACACTTGGGGCCTACCCACTGTGCGAGGGGTCCTTCCTGCAGCAGCCCCAGGGGCATCTCTGGTGACTGGATGCCAGCAGCCGGTAGCGGCACCAGGCCAGGCCAGCCCCAGGCAGCAGTGGAAGCAGGAAGCTTAAGATGGTGCCCAGTAGGAAGGCATCGCCGGGGTCTGCAGTCGACAAAGAGGAGCCGTGAGCCCTGAGCAGGTTCACCACCAGCACCACCTGCCAGCGCTCCCACCCCCCAGGAGGCGCACTGTCAGCCTGCGCGGGGCCGCTGTCCACACTGCCACCCAAGCCTGGCTTGTCGCAGAAGGGCGGAGCCCAGCCCGGAGGGCAGTGGCAGTTCCCGTTGCTGTTGCAAACCTACAGAAGGGGAAAGGAAAGAGGTTGGTACGGGATGGGCCCCTCTCCCGCTGAAGCCACGCCTCCCCATCCCATCCCCCACCCCCAGTGACAGGTTCCTCACCCCGCGGTGGTGGCAGACAGCCTCGCAGCGCTGCAGCTCCGGGAAGCTAACGTTCTGGCAGCGCCTGTCCTGGCACACCTGTGGGCAGAGCACCCATGGGACACCCGCGGTAGACTCCCAGGTGGCAAGCAGGGTTCAGGGGTCAGGCCTCACCATTCCAGGGCCACACTGAGTGCCCGCCTCCACCAAGCCCAAGTCCAGCTGGTGCGGTTGGGCATCAGGGGGCGGGAAGACTCCCCGACAAGTCACCTCGCCGCCCTCCAGATGAACGGTGGAGTCCACGGGCGCTGTGTGCGGTGGCAGTCGCCCAGGGTCCCCGCCCTGGCACTGCAGCCTCCCGCACCAAGCATCCCTGAGTGAGGGAAAGGAGGAGGTGAATGGGCCGTGGCTCCTTCCCCGCCCATTGTGCTGCCGGGAAGCCTTGGTTCCCTCCCTCAGGTTTGACTCCCCACCTCTTAGCTTGAGGCACGAAGCCGGCCTCAGCATCCTGGTCGCAGTTCCCGTGGGCGTCCCCCGCCGAGTTCACCACCTGGAAGCAGGCCTCGGGGGCAGCGCGCGAGCCTAGGGAGCAGGCGGGCAGCTGGGGGATGGCGCGGAGCAGGGGCACGCCCGGAGAATGGGAGCGGGATGCAGGGGCGCGGGATGCAGGGGCGCGAGATGCAGGGGCGCGCGCTCGGTCTCACCAGGCCCCCAGAGTTGCTGACACTGCTGCTCCAGCGTGGGACATGCGCCGTCGCGGCAGTAGCCGTGCCCTCCGGCGCAGGGCGAGCCGTCCAAGAGGTAAACGTCCGGGGGACAGTGCGGGGAGGAGCCCGTGCAGAACTCCGGGAGGTCACAATCGCCCACAGCCGCGCGGCACGGCGTGCCCGCCGGCCTCCACTGCGCCACCGGGTACCCGGTTAGGTGAGGAGTGAGAGACTAGAGTTGAGCTGGGAATCCGGACGGAACCAGCTCCCCAGCAGGGGCCCCAAGAGGCGCCGCAGCCAAGACCACCAAGGCCGACTCCCCATTGTGCCCGGAGCCCTCACCAGGCAGCGCGCGCAGCAGGCTCCTTGGGCGCACTCGGCCCCGGCACGCAGCGAGCAATTATGGGCGAAGCAGCAGAGTTCCGGGCACTCCTGGAGCCAGAAAAGTAAGGAACAGGTGAGGGCGCAGCGTCCCAGATGTCAGCGCTGGGGGGAACGGGTGTGTGCGTGAAGGGTGGGTCTTGGTAGCTCAAGGCCCGACAGAAGGACCTGACCTGGCCAGAGCCGCAGTCACACTCCTCGCCCGCCTCCACGAAGCCGTTGCCGCAGCGCGCCGGGCGCACCAGGCGCTCCGGGTCCGGAATATCGGCGAGGCACGCGCCGCCTCCCTTGCGGAAAAAGGCGCGCAGCTGACGGCGGCTGCAGGCGCTGAATACGCGCGGAAACGGATGCCTGGGGACACGGGGAGGAGGACATCGGTGTGCGGGAAGTGCCCCAAGCCCGGCGCTCTCCCACTCCCACGCCTAGACTGGCCACAGTCGCCAGAGGTGCGAGGCCCCTGTCCTCCAGGGAGAACCGGGCGCCGGGAAGCAGCCAGTGCAACGCCAAGAGCAGCCCAACAGGTGCAGACACGGAATCAGCACCCGAAGGTCGAAGTGCCTAGGCTAGGCTGTGCTCAGAGACCCCCCCCCCCGGAGGCTGCAGACTAGGCGCCTCCGACGCTGAAACCTCAGGACGAAGCAAGGGCGGGCCCTGTGGCCGTCAACCTTATCCCACAGAATTTGAAGCACAAGCAAAGACACGCGGTCCACGATCGCCCCATGCCCAACCTCGCACGCACCCCGTGGCCGCCGCCATGACGCAGCCGCCCGGGTCGCGCGCGGCATCCTCGCAGCAGCCGTCGGCATCGTGACTGAGGCCAAGGCTGTGGCCGATCTCGTGCGCCATGGTGGCCGCGGCGCCCAGGGGGAGCTCGGAGTGGTCCTGGTAGGACGTGGCGGGGAAATGGTCACTGTGAGCCCCCATCCCCGCACAGCCGCCTGCACACAGTCCCCCGGGCGCTCACCGTGCTTACGCCCCCAGAGCTCTCTGCGCCGCACATGCCCTCGATGGGCGCCAGACCCACGGTGGCGCCGCGGAAGGGGCGGCCCCTGGAAGGGCAGAGCATGGCGGCGTCAGCCGTGGGGGCCAGCTGCTGGGGCCCCGCAAGACCAGTCCCGGGGCCCGCGTCCAGGGTCAGAGGCACGCACGTAAGCAGCTGCGCCGAGTCGTGTGGCCGCCGTGCCCACAGCCCCCGGCGCCACCGCAGAAAGGCCCATAGCGTGGCATTGGCGTCTGGCGTGACCTGGCTCTGGTCCTGCTGGTTCCACACTTCCAGGCCGCTCAGCACGACCCGGATGTCCAAGGTCCTGAGGATCTAAGAGCCGGGCTGGGTGCGGTGGGCAGGCGACCCACTGGCTGGGCATAGGGCCCTCAACTCCCCCTGCCCTGCACATGCCCGCTAGGATCCACCCTCTCTTTTGCAGCTCTGCCAACCTGATCCACGTAGCTGGCCACCTCCAAGAGCCGCTCTTTGGTGCGATTCACATTCCTGTGCCGGATCAAGAACTGGGAGGGCAGAAATACACCGTGCGATGGGGCAGGGGGTAGGTGAGTCCTGGCCCTGGCCCCCTGCCAGGTCCCTCGGATGCACTCCTCACCAGGGAATGGTCAGCCACTAGGTACAGCTCCAGGTACTTGGTGCTCCTGCCAACCCCGCGCCTGTTCTGCGGAGGGAACAATGAAGGATGATCCAGAGAGGCAGGCCGCTGGGCTTGAGTCCTGGCCACCAAGCCCAAACCCCAAAGAGAACAGCGGCATAGGTGCCAGGACTTGCTTCCTCCTAGGCCCTAGCCCTGGGGCCTAAGGTCCCTTCTCTCTTCCCCTGTGTTTCCACTGCCACCCGGTCCACGGCCCTGACCCTGTTCTGGCTCACAGTCGGGCGGCTGGTCATGCCCGCCTTCTCCCTGGGGTCCCTGTGACCACAGGCCCCTTCCCAGGTGAGCAGTTGCTGGATTCTGAAGACTGTGTGGGTTGAAGCCTCCTTGGGGTCCCCAGGCGCCCTGGGCCGCAGGTAATAGGTGGTGTTGCAGTTGAGCACGATGAGGCCACTAGGGTGCAGAGGAGGGGTCAGAGGGCATACCCCAGCCCCAGGCCCAGCTTCCCCCCACCAAAAGCTCCTCACCTCAGCCCAGAGCAAGTGCTGAGGGCCACCCAGGAGTCCGGGAAGCCCCTCACGCGTCCGTGGTAGTGGCAGTGATCCTGGGGAGGAGGCCCAGGTCTTAACCAACAGTGAAGTGGGATGGGCAAGAGCAAGGCAGGCCGGGCAGTGGGGGCACCCCCTCCAGTGGGGGAGCGCATGCTCCCCCAGCACCTCTCACGGGGTCCCAGGGCCCGTGGGAACATCTCACCGTGTGGCTGCGGGCCTGCACCACCAGCTGTCCATCTGGGCTGTAGTGGGTCTCCGTGTACCCCGGGGCCAGCAGCCTGCTGGGAGTAGGGGTTTCTAGGAATCACATCACTCGGGCCCAGCACCGCCTCCTCCTAGACGCCTTCCAGTCCTCCTCCCTGAATGCTAACTGAGCAGCTCTCCGAGGGAAGGCCCCGGAGTGCTGGATGGGGAGCTGAAGGCAATGATGGTTCAGAGAGGGAGGGTCAGTGGCCCCGTGTGGGAAGATGGGGGCTGCAGCCGGTGCCTCTGGCGAGGAGGGGACACTGCTGAGGGCAGGCACTCCTGCCTGCTGCCTATCCTTGTAGTACAACTGGTCCACCTTCCCACTCTCTCCTGTACCATACCTTTCAAATCTCTCAGCCTCTCAGCCTCACTATCAGATGAACTAGAATCCCACCTGTCCCCACCTGCTCCTGCCCTGCCCACCTGAGAAGGGGTCTCCATCTCCCCTCTGCCCTGTCTGTGGGCTCCAGCTCTCCCCAGGCCCAGCAGTCACCCAGCATCAACCTCTGAGCTTTTGGGAAGCTCGGCTTCCTGACCCCTAGAGGTGCCCAAGGCACCCAAGACTGGTGATGTCTGCCTCTGTTCCTGCTAGCCATCCTCAGCAGCTCTGCTCCTCCACTGCCCTCCCACGCACAGGCCTGGCAGATGGCGAGCGTGTCCGCAGTACCACACAGACAGGGCTCACACGCTGACACGAGCACTCGGTGGCCATGCCTGGGAGCACCATGTGGCCAGGATGCCTGCCTCCGCGTGGCAATGCCTTGGTTCAGTGTTCGCTCTGGCTCCTGGCTCCAGTTTCCTGCTAATGCGCCTGGGAAAGCAGCAGATAATGACTTGGGCCCCAATATCCACATGGGACACCTGGATGGAGTACCTGGCCCTTGACTTTGCCCTAGCCCAGCCTTGGCTTCAGGGAGTGTTTGGTGAGTGACAGAAGTACTCTCTCCCTCTTTCCCCCTCCTTTTCTCTGCCGTGCAGATAAGTAAAAATAAAAACTTTTTGAAACATCCCACACTCTTTCTTGGGCTCCTCCCGCACTCCGTGAACTGCTCTGTCTGCTCATTCACCAGCTTCAACCCTTTGGCTCCACCAGCCAGGACAGGCAGAGCTAACCCGGCCTTCGGAGACCTGGCCCTCCTGGATCCCCCAGAGCCTATCGCCCCAATCCAGGATGCTCCCCAGCTGCAGCAGACTCCAGGAACCGCCACGAGGTGGCGCCGCTCGCCTGAGGGATCCTGCTCCTGCTGCGGTTGGGATGCTCTGCCAGACCGGAATTAACCCTGCCTCCAGTCATTTCAGCTCCCAGAAGATCACCAGGGCTTTCCTGCCACTTGCAGTCCCAAGTCCCTGCAGGGCCCTCTGCCCCTCCAGGCTGCCTCCCTCTGGGGGTCCCCCCGCCATCGGTCCCCAGCATGGACTCACCGGTTCCTGTGCAGCTCAATCAGGAGCTCCTGGCCATCAGCCTCCAAAGTCAGGAGACCTGCATCAGGGGCCTGGCCGAGAAGAAACGTGGGGCTGAGGTGGGGGCTTCCACGCTTGCTGGAGAGGTGTGGAGTTCAAGGGCAGACCCTGGTGGGGGCTCCATGGGAGCCCAGCACATGCCAAGGTGTGTGCTGCTGCCAACAGCCACCTGCCAGCGGTGCCCCAAGCTCCCCGGAGTCCAGGGCTGCCAGGAAGGTGCCCCGCTTGGCTGTGTTCCTGGGTCCTGCCTCCTCTTTTTCAGATCTAGAAGGCACACACGAGAGAGCCAGGCGAAGGCGACAGGGCCTAGAGGACACTTCAGGGGGACATCTCAAGGGCCTCCCTGCCATCTGAGAGCAAGAGCCCCCAGAGTCCAGTGGCCCCCCAGTCCACCTGGCTGCCTGCGGGCCTGTCCCACATCTGCCTTGCTGAACTCGGGGAGTAAACGTGGATCCCTTCCGGTGGAGAGGCAGCCCTGACTCCCCACCCGATGCCAGGAGGGCCAGCTGGGTCCTCAGTACCCCCTCCCCATCTCTGGTCCTCCACACCCTTCTCGGTGAGGACGCCCCTGAGCTCCCTGGAGGCCTTGGGATGCTTGCCTCCCTGCTGGAAGGTCTCCTCCTGTTATCCCAGAATGCCCTGAGCTGGGGCCCAGCCCGGGACACCCCAGCCCTAGGCCTGGCCCCTTGACTGGGGGAAGGCTACCCGCCAGGGCCCGTCCCTCGGGGAGCCCCACTACCTTCCCCTCCTGGACAGTCTGCCCCTCGCCGTGCCCCTGACCCATCCCCACGTGTGATGGGGCAGATCCCCTGGCCTGGCCCCAGCAGCCCCTGGCCTGTTTTGCCACGTTTGCAGGAGCAGGAGGCCAAATGTGAAGGAAGCAGTGCCCACCTGAGTTTCTCCTTTGGTCACAGCCCAGTGACCATGCTGGAGGCATGCAAGGATGGATAGGACATGGGAGGAGGTGGGACAGGGTATGTGGGGTGTGTTTGCATAAGGGGAGGGGAGACAAGACGGCAACCACTGCCTCCCACCCTGCCCAGCCAAAAGTGGATTTCCCACGATCTGATGAGGCCAAGGTTCCGGGCCGCCAAATGGCAGGTCCTGAGGAGGGACAGCAAGGCGCCGCAGGAATCACACGGCCCAGCAAACTGTGCCAAAGATATTCTTGTGATTTCTTCAAGATGCTCCTAAAAGCTTCAGGCCCCACAAGCCTTGGACCCAGCTCTGTCTGGTGGGGGTGGGGCCTGCCTGGATCATCTAAGGAGGAAGGGGGGAGGGAGTAGAAAGCACATGCAGACTCCCCCCCCCCCTTGGCATGCAGGCTCCTGCAGTGGGGAGGGGCCTGGAGGAGCCCCTGCATGGCTGGCTGCAGGGACCCTCCCCCAACACCACCCAGCAAAGCGGCCACCCTGCATGGCAGGGAGGGACTGACCAGTTCCTGGGTGACCACGCGCCAGGGCCTGCCATCCAGGACCCAGCGGGGGGTGACTGGCTCTCCAGGGTCGCCTCCTGCAATGTGGACAGAGCACAGGGTGGAGTGCTGAGGCTAGAGGCACGGCAGCCAGAGGAACAGGGCTGGAGGAGAGAGGACATGAGCACCTGCCGGCTGACCTGGGCTTGGTGCAACCACCGGAGCCTGGAAAGTAACAGCTCACTGGGCACAGGCAGCAGCCTGATCTTGGCTTGGGGTCTAGGTCAGAAGGGAACAGCCAGGCCCCAGTGCCGAGGGGGTGGGACGGCCCAGGGTATTTTTAGCCTGGGCTACAGATGCTTTCCTGATGAGGAGCGGCCGGCCGCCTGGTGTTTCCCACTCTCCATCCACTCTCCATCCACGCTGGAGGACGCATGGCTGGGCTTCGGGACACCCACCTGGTCTGAGCCGCCCTGGGGCCTGTATGCTGGGGGCAGGGCTCCCTGGGACCCTGGGCCAGAAGCCCCCTTCTCTTGTGTCGTTGGGGGCCATAGGATGTCTGAGGGAGGAATCCGGAGCCAGGCATTACTCAGAGGCGTGTGGAATGCTCCCCTGGAATGCTCCCCTCCCAGCCTCCTCTCCAGAAACAGGCCACCCTGGCCCCAGTCCCTCAGCGGATCCTTCTTCCAGACCGCAGCACCAAAGATCTGGGTGCCGCGGGGTGGGGGGGGGGGCAGCAAGGAGCTCCAGCAGCCCCTGCCCCCCTGGAAGTCCCTGGAATTACGTGAACTTACTTACCAGTGAAACAGGACGGGAGTGGGAGAGGGGAGGGTGAAGAAGCCAGAGTGGGGAGGGGGATGCGCAGGACCAAGCCGGGCAGGTGCAGTGTGGGGGAGGGGCGAGGCGGGCCGCCAGCACCATGATGGAGGCAGATGGGGAAGGAAAACTGGTCCGGTTTGGGGGAGCACGGAGCCCCTCTCTCCTCCAGGTCCCACTACCCTCCCCCGCCTTGGCCCTGGGCCCGGCAGCCGTGCAAAGTGTGGGAACTACCCACAAGCACGCTGGCTCGCACTCCTCACCCCTGCTGCAGGAGGCGCCTGGACAGAGCTGCACAGGACACACTCCCCATGCGGGGGCCAGGCATGCACCGCCCGGCTCTCCCAACCCCCACTTGAGAAACAGCTGGGAGAGTCCTCCCCCAGGTCCTCTGCCTCTCTCTGCCCTGACCAAACAAGGCAGCAATGGCCAGAGCTCACACTCTCCCAAGCCCCTGGAACCAGGTCCCTGGGAGCTCCCAGCGGAGCCAACTACAGAGGGCTTCCTGGAGGAGGGAGACCAGCCCTAGGAGTGGGAGGCAGTGGGGAGAGGAGCGGGGCTGGGAGGGAAATAGGGAGTATACTCCCAACTTGCCCTGTGGGAAGCGGGGTGAGGGCGCACAGACCCCGCATCGGCGGCCCCCGTGGCCCCTTCACCACCACCCACATTACGACCGTCCCCGGCCTCACCTCGGGGCACCCAGGTGCCGGGCCCTGGCTTCGGGAGCAGCAGCAGCAGCAGCAGCAGCAGCGGCAGCGGCGGAGGCCCCCAGGCTATCTGGGAGCCCCAGCCCATGGCTCAGAGCTGAGGCTGGCGGCCCGCGCAGCGCCCCAGCCCGAGCGCCCTGCTGGAGCGGGGTCCAGAGCGCAGCGGCCGTCGAGGGGGAGAGAGCCGAGCCGGACCCGGAGGAGGCGTGGGTCCAGCCCGCCGCGACCCGCCCTCCATCGGTCCCGAGGGCCCCGAGTGGCGCTGGAGGGTGGGGCCGCAGCGGGCGGCGGGCGGGCGAGGAAGCGCGCGCCTGGACACCACCTGTCGCGGGGTGTCCGTCCGCAGAGCGCCCCGCAGCTCCGCCAGGACCGCCTTTCTCCCCGCCTGGCCACGGCTCCCCGGGGAGGACGGCAGCCAGGCAGGTGTGGCCGCGCGCCTGGGCGCTTGGTGCCCGGCAGAGGCGATGTGGCCGCTCACACCCAGGCTGAGGGAGGGCCAGGGCGCACAGGGCGTGTGCAGCAGCGTCCCACGGACCCGTTTCTCGTTGTAGGGCTAAGGGAGCAGGGCTGGTGCTCGGTTCTATTTTTACCCCCCCCCCTTTTTTTTTTAAAAAATCTGAGAAGCAGAGTGCCAGAGCGCTCGCTCGTGTCTGCTAGTTCATTCTGCAACTCCCCACAGCCACTGCAAACCATCGGTGTCTCCCCTGTGGGTGCAGCCAGCCACCTCCTGCCGCTGGTCTTCCAGAAGGAACTTCACCACCGGCACTTGAGTACTGGGTTCTGGTTGCAAGAAAGAGGCTCCCTCCCTCCCACTGTGTCATAGGATGGATGCATAGCGGAAGGGAGGGCTGGACAGGATTCCTAGGAAAGTCTGAGGTCAAGCACACAGGTTTGGGGGCGGGGCCTGAAAGCAGCAAAGGGGCAGCCCCACCCGCATTGCGCCCCTGACTTCTGACTGGTTCCCAGGCTGTTGGTTCCTGCACCAACCGCCCATGACCCTGCAGGCTCCTCCACCCCACTCCTTCAACCTGGGCTCTGCTCCTCCCACCACAGCCACCAGGCCCCAGAGGAGGCCCTGGCTCTCTGGAAGCTGGTCCTTGCCTCTGCCTGGTCTCCTGAGCCCTCTCCATGTTCCTGATCCTCCTCCTGGCAAGGGAGCCTCTAGGGCCAGGGGGATGGACCCAGGGCAGACACAGAGAGGAAGAGGACAACCATGTCCTTTTGGGGGGGGGGGTCCAAAAAGAGACAGAGCCCAGCCCCTGGGTTGGTGGTGGAAACTGGGGCGCTTCTCTTTCCACGCAGGCAGCCCAGGGCCCAGCCAGCCCCTCTGCCCAGGATGCCATGCCTTGATGGCCTCAGCCCTCACTGTGTGGGAGGGCCATCCTCCAGGACACTCGTCGCCATCAGATAGGCACCGTGGCAGAAAGTGGCTTGCTAGTGACTCTCCCCTCCCCGTTGAAAGTCCCAAGTCAGGTACGTGGCAGAGAGTCCAGCAGCAGCAGCGTTTGCACGGGAGCTCTGAACTCCCCATAACAGCTACCTTTCCCAGCTCCCCCTGCAGCTTCAACTGATTGCATCCTGGCCAATGAGGAGCGAGAGAAACACTGCTTGCCACTAGGGGCTCTGTCCTTCCGTGTCCACTGGAGGGAATGTGGACAGCGCGGGGCCACCCTGAGCCTCACAGCCACAAGCAACATTGGCAGGAGTGCAGAGGAGCCAGAAGGCTCCCAAGCCCCTCTTGCCTGGCCCCACCACCGTCACAGGCCGGGCTTGGTGGCAGAGAACACCAGAGACCCCACCATGGGACAGGCACTGTATTGGGTCTCAGGCTAGAGCAATACTAGCTTGTGTCCAGAGCAGAGGGAGGGCTGGCTCAGACTTCCAGGGAGGGACAGATGTGCTGGGGTGGGGGAGAACAGGCCACATGGGTGGGGGGGCCGTTTCTCTTCAGAAGCCCCCCTCCCCAGCCTCAGTGACATCCCCTGGGAGATCGGGGCTTCTGACCCACTTTCTTCCAGGGGGGGTAGAGGCTCAGAGTCAGGTGCCGGGTGCCAGTGAGGCAGAAACCACAGCGCTGTTTCCACAGAGGTAGGCGGGTCTGAATGGGCACATGGGCCGGCGACATCCTCCTCCCGAGGATGGGCAGGGCCTCTCTGCTCAGTCCAGGAGTGGAGCACTGTCCAAGGTGGTCCCATCACCAGCCAACGCATCCGGATCACAAAGCTTGCCGACGAGAGAGCTGTGGTCACCGTCGGCCCCGGGCACACACGTACTCCCCCGAGGGCCCCAGGCCTCAGCCTTATGTCAGGGTACTAGAGGGCAGGGGTTCAACACCCCATCTCCCCCGTTCAGGGCCTGGGCAGGCCCAGGACAGGGGAGGAGAGGCCACAGAGCCCAAGATGCCTCTGGGAAACAGGGCATGGCTGCAGAAACCAGACAGCACCCAGGCCACCCCACCAACCTGTACATACCCCACATGGGGTCCTGGCTCCCAGAATTCCCCTACACTCTCCCCTGATCCCAGGAAATGCAGCCAGGCCCCCAAGGTTAGCCAGTGCCTGCACCTGCAGGTGTCCGCAAGACGCGTACCTGTGTGCTGTCTTTCTGAGATGCCATCTCCACTAAGTTCTTGCTCCTCCTCAGCTGATGAGCGTGCCTCCTTCTGCAAGGCCAGGAGCCGAGTCAGAGGGCCCCTGCCTGCCCACTCCCTGCCATCCCAGCCCCCTCCCCACCGGCTGGCCCCAGACTGCTCACTGTACACGGCAGGGGAGGCCTGGGGACAGTAGGGCATTTGGTCTTTCTTCCTCCCCAGCCATTTCTTTAACATCGCCGCATGCATCAGAGAGAAGGAAAGAAGATAATGACAGCAAGATGGACCGAGAGGTGACTCCAGAAGGGATTCCCACTTAGCAGCAGGAGGAGGAGGCTAAGAAGGATGCAGCCCGTGAACCTGGCAGAAGGAGGTGCCCCTGAAAAAGCGGGGGTTGCTGGAGGCAGGGGAGGAAGACGAGGCAGCCGACCCAGCCCTCCCATCGACCCACCTCCAGGCGAGGCAGGCCCCAAGGCCCAACAGCAGGCCAAAGAGGCTCGCCACCAGTCCCAGGCCCCAGAGAAGCTGCTGGAACAAGTGCAGGCGATGCAGGGCTGGAACACAGAGAAGGAGGGGGTTCAGGACCAGCAGGGGTTCCAGGCTTCCTCCACCCTAACTCCCAGGACCTCCCTGCAGCCCTCCACGCTGGGAACCGACACCAAGTCTCTTTAGGCCAGGCAGACAGGCCGGCCTGCAGAGGGAGGGAGCCTGGGCCCTGTGCAGCGTGGCTTGGGAGAGAGAGAACCGCCCCCCCCACCCCACCCCACCCCCACCACCCTCACCTCGAGTCCCGAAGTAGGCGGAGGCAGAGCTGGAGCCCAGGATGTTGGAGGCGGCACACACGTACTCCCCCTGGTCACCCGGCTGCAGCTCCTCCACCTGCACCCGCAGGGCATTGGGCCAGGCCGAGACTCGGATACGTCCCTGGCCAGGGTCACCTCGCAGCTGGCTAGAGGCCACTAGTTGGCTGCCAAGGTGGAGCGTCAGGCTGGCGGCGGGCTCGCTGTCCACTTGGCAGTCCAGGATGCCCTGGAGGCCACCCTCAGGTTCCAGGAAGCTGGTCAGGGTGGGCATGGTGGGTGGGTCTGCGGGAAGGGACATGGTGATGGGCAACAGTGACCCATTGGCTGGCTCCCTGGCCCCAGGCCTGTTTCCTCACTGAATCTGAGGCTACGGTGGCCACTGGCAGGTGCAAGATATGACCTTGTGCGGTCCCCAAGCTGGCCTTGCTGAGACCCTGAAGAATCTGCTTGATTTCTAAAGCTCAGCCTGCTGAGCACATGGGGCCAGAACCCTGGGCAGCAGTGGTCCCTGACATGAGATTTGCCCCTGCCAACCAGAGCTGTGCTCAGTGCAAACCTTTTATCCACAGGGCTGTGGGCAAGAACACTGCTGCCGTTGGCACAGGATTGGGGGCTTTTCCAGGGAGGAACAGCTGACGGACACAGCGGGAAAGGTGCTCTGCATGCTTCCCACACTGTCCATGGGAGCGAGAGGCCTGGATGTTCCCCACCCCATTCTCCAGGTAGGAAAACCCAGGCATGAGTGTCCGGGTGGTCTCCAGGCACTCACAGAGCACACGCAGAAGGACTGGAGCAGCAGTGGTGGATCCTGTGGGGAACTCGGCCCGGCAGTGGTACAGACCAGCCTGAGCCCGGGCCACGTGGCTGAAGGTGAGAGTGGGCAGCGGCTCCATGTGCAGTGGCCGGCCATTCCAGAACCATGTGACGGTGGAGTTGTCCACAGGCCCAGGGCCACCAGGGAAGTGGCAGCTCAGATTCAGCGCCGCGCCCTCAGGCACGTCCAGGCCTGGGTTGGCCACCACATGGCCACCTGTGGACCAGGGCCAGAGGTGGTCAGCAACGGCAGGCCTGCAGTACCTGGAGCTCTGAGCAAGCCCGCGGCACCTGCCAGGCTGCCCCGGACATTGCAGGAGAAACCCCACATGGAATGGGGTCTGGGCCAGCAAGCTGGGACTGTGCCTCCCCCTGCAGATGGACACGGAGATGCCGCTGGTCTGGGTGCTGGGACCCCCAGGATGGGGCTCTGCCACCCCTCTCAGATCAACTTCCTGATACATAAGGCCATGTCTGTTTCCTCCCAACCTTCCCCCAAACATGGGCTCACATCTCCCCTCCTCTCCTTGGGCCCTGACATTTTGCCTGCCTCTAAGGAGAGCTCCAGGGGCCCCTGCAGTGCGAGCTGTGCCTCGAACCCTCAGCTGGGCCCTGCTTTGGGTCCCGCCCACTCCCTTTCCCACTCACCCGACGCCTGCAGCTGCCCAGTGGTGCTGGCTGAGCCCAGCAGGTTGCGGGCTGTGCAGACGTAGGTGCCACCATCACCTGCAGTTGTATTTTGCACGTGTAGCCACAGGGCATTGCGGGCCACCTGGACACGGCCCAGCCCCGTGGCTGAGCCATTGGCCCCATGGCTTGTGGCTAGCACCTCGCCATCCAAGAACAGCGTCAGCTCAGCAGGTGGCTCGCTGTCCACGGTGCACTGCAGCACAGCCACAAGAGTGGTCCTGGAGTCCCAGGAGGTGGACAGCACAGCATTCCGGGGGGCATCTGGGGGCAGGGCAGAACACAGATGCGGGCCTTGCCCAGGTACCACGCGCACCCCACTACCTACCTGCCTGCTGTTGGCAAAAGTTCAAACTGCCTCCCTGCAAGTGACTCCTTCTGAAGTTTTGTTCCCTTCTCCCCCATGTCCCCACTCCTGTACCCCTGCCACCCCATGCCTGTGCCCACACCTCTAGGCCCCCAAAGCACCTCCACCGCCCTTGCCCCAGGTGGTGCCCACCACGGATCCCCTCTCACAGAGAACTTGCAAGGCAGCAGGCCGTGAGCTGCGTGTGCCCTGCGCATCCTGGACCTGACACGAGTAGGCCCCTGCGTGAGCCTGTTTGGCCTCTGGGAAAACTAGCGAGGCAGTCGGACCCTCCTGCAGCCAACGGCCATTGTAGTACCAGACGAAGAGGGCAGGCAGCTGGGCAGCGGGGTCCTCACAGGTCACCGTGACTGTGGCCCCCTCGGGCACAGTGGCCGATGGGACCAGTGTCACCCGCACACCTGAACCAAGGAAGCCAGGGTCAGCTTGGAGCAGCCACAGCCGAGTTCCACCCCCGTGGCATGGACATGGCCTGTGCCTGCCTCACCCTCTAGCCGCAGCTCCAGGGAAGTGTTGGCCCGGCCCAGGGGGTTGTGGGCCGAGCAGACGTAGAGACCCTCATTGCTGGGCCGGGGCTCCCGCAGCTCGAGGCGTAGGCTGTTGGGGCTCGAGGCTTCAGTGGAGGAGGCCAGGAGGTGGCCGGCATGGCTGATGGCCAGTTGGGCAGGCGGGTGGCTGTCCACGGTGCACAGGATCAGCACCAGCCGCCCGCCGTGCCTTTCCAGGAGGTAGGTGAGGCGCTGGTTGCGGGGACCATCTATGCAAGTGTGTGAAGTGCCATCTCTGAGAAGGACTAGGCACGCTCTGGTTTCCTACCCCAAGGCCCCCCACCCTGCTCTTCTCTGCCCAGAAAGGACCCAGCTCCACTGTTCTCCCCTCTGCTTCCCTTGGCCCATGCTATATTGGTTGGCTGCGTGCCCTGACCACGCCCCAGTCCCCTTGGACCGCCTTCATCCCCTGCACCCCCCTCCTGCATGCACACACTCACAGAGGACCTCCAAGGTGACAGGCCTGGAGAGGCGAGGTGGTCTGCCATGAGACTCCACACTGCAGTGGTAGGAAGCAGCGTCACTGGCGGTGGCATTGGGCAGGAGGATGGAGCGGCCTCCTGGATGCTGCTGGCTATCCCGGTACCACGTATAGGTGAGTGGGGCCAGGTCGGAGGTCCACACAAGGCAGGTCAAGTTCACCTGCTGCCCCTCCTGCACGCTGGCTGTGGGCCACACCTGCACGCTCACAGCTGCAGAGAGATGGGGGAAGGGGTTCAGGCTGGGTCACATGAGCAGTCTGTTTTCCATCCTGCCGGGTGAGTGGCCTCAAGCAGCCCCCTGGGTAGGGCACAGGGCCGGGAAACTGGCTCAGCATCTCCCAAGGGGAGCCTTGGCATGCCCTGATTTGTCCCCCAGCTGCCCCACTGCAGCCGGGGGACAGTGCCCACTGCACTGAAGCTTAGCTGTCACTCCTACACCAGGCTCCTAGGCGCCACCTCCTGCCCATGCGCACCCCAGAGGCATCAGTGAGGGTGTGGGACACCCCACCAGAGCTCTGGCCTCCTGGCATCGTCCCGGCCTAGCCCGGCTGCTGCAGGCATTGGGGCAGTGAACCAGCAGATGGGAGATCTTCCTCCCCATCTCTGTTCTCTCTCTGTCACTCTTACTCTCAAATGGATTAATTAATTAAAATTAAGTAGGAAAGGCTTCTGGAAATCACTGTTTAGAAACTGCTGCCCTGAGGGAGGGTGAGTGTGCAGACCGTGCTTCTGCACCTGCACTTCTGGATGCATGTTCCACCGCATCACACACACTCTCTCTCTCTCTCAGCCCACACACTGACCCTGCGCGTCGAAGTCAGTCGAGGCAGAGGCCTGGCCCAGCACACTGGTAGCCTCACAAGTGTAGGTGCCCTCGTCCTCCAGGCCAGCCCCGTGGATCTCTAGGCGCAGCATGTTGGGGGCCACGACCACCTGCAGCCGGGGAGAGCTGCTTGCAAGCTCGCCTGTGCCCTGGTTCGTGGAGGCCACCAGGCTGTCCCCGTGCAGCAGTCGCAGCTGGGCTGGGGGATCACTCTCCACACGGCACAGGAGGAGGCCCAGGCGCCCGGGGCCTGTATCCAGCAGGGCAGTGAGAGTGGCCTGGCGGGGAGCATCTGGGGGCAAGGGCGAGTGGGGGCGATCAGAAGGACCTGGCCATAGCATTCCCTTCTCCAGCCAGGACCCGAGGCTGCCTCCCCCACCCCACCCTGCCACCACTCCCCACCACCCCAGGACAGGAAGAAACCCTACAGGACACGTGGAGGACAACGGGGGCAGCCAAGCTCGCGGTGGCCGTGCCCGGCGCCTGTGCTTGGCAATGGTAAGCTCCAGCTTGTTTCAGAGTGATGGCCGCCAAGCGGAGCGTGGCAGAGTTCGCGCCTTCCAAGGGCTGGCCGTCCCGATACCAGCGGTACGAGCTTCCTTCAGCAGTCCCCGTGGGCAAGTGGCAGCTCAGGACCACAGCCTGGCCCTCCTGGAGCTCAGGCGACGGGGTCACCTGGACCCAGGCCCCTACAAGGAAAGGCAAGAATAATGAGGGCACAGTGGAGGCAGCTCAGGACCACAGCCTGGCCCTCCTGACCAGCCCCAGGGACCCCTCAGACTCCCTGCCTCCACCTCTGCCCCAGCCTGCCCCCGGGGCTCTGCCTTGCCTGTCCAACTCGCTAGCCCCGTGGGGACCAGGCCTATGTGGTCTGTGACCCCAGTGCCAGACACAAAGCACTGAACCTGGAGGAATTTAGATCCTGACTCTGAGCTGGCCTCAATGTGAGTGAACAGGGACTTGAAGGGCAGGTCAGCAGCTCTGTGGCCGAGTCTTCTGAAGCCCTACTCTGCTCCGGGCTCCAGGCCACGAGAGCCCAAAAATGTGCTGGAGACCAGGGTGGGAGGAGTGAGGCCCTGGGACGGCTGGGATCGGAACTGGCACCCCTGGCCACAGGCGATACCTAGGACCAGAGCTGAGTTGCTCCAACAGCTAGTGGGGAGGCCCTGCTGGTCACGTGACCATGACCAAGTTCCTGAACCTCTGATTCTTACTTCCCAAGGCCCAGGTAAACGCATCCAAATGGGTGCTATCTGTTACTGTGGGAGAAGCAGCCAGGGCTCCTCGCTGCCCCTTGCGTTGCAGGTACTATCTCACTCCCAGGCTTACTTGCTTAGGGAAGAGCAGGAACATCTGACATGTAGAATATACGTGTATAAACATATCTCTATTGATAAACACACATATAATGCATTATACAGCTCATGCATATTAGACAAAAGCATACATACATATCCCTAATATATATGCATGCATATTAGGTTTCTATAAGTGTGTTTACTGTTTAACAAAGTTGGATGCTACAAAGTTTTTATCAGTAAGTGCCGACAGCAGGCCTCCTCATGCAGCTGCCACTGCCCCCTAGTGGTAGCTACAGTTATTTTGGGCCCAGATGTTTTGGCGGCAGTGGGCTGGCTGGCTGGCTGGGAACCTCCCCCTGCCCTGTCCCTGAGCAGCCCAGCAGCCCCCGGGCTTGCCATGTGCTCAGAGGATGAACACTCACCTCGCACCTGGAAGAAGAGGGAGGCGTTGGCTGACCCGAGAGTGTTGGTGGCCTCGCAGCGATAGTTGCCCGAGTCCCCAAGGTCCAGTTCCCGGAGCTCCAGCTGCAAGGAGTTGGCCGTGGCCTTAGCCCGGAGCCGGCCGTGGGATGGGAGCTGGTGCCCTCGACTGCTGGCCAGGAGGAGCTCTCCACGGAACAGGGCCAGGTGGGCCAGGGGCCAACTGTCCACGGTACAGGCAAACACGGCCATGTGGCCCTGGGCCACATCCAGGAGGGCTGACAGCTTTGGAGGGTCTGGGGGGTCTGCAGAGATGGGGGGAGCTCAGGTCATGCCTCCCACGCACACAGCCAAGGACCCCACCACCACCACCACCACCTCCAAGCCCTGCCCTGCTCCCCTCTGCCACGTCCCCTGCCTCCAAGCATGTCACCCACAGAGGACAGTCAGGACTGCAGGAGCTGACAGGAGGGTGTGAGCCTCGGTGAGGACGCGGCAGGCATAGCGGCCAGAGTCCGTCCGCGCCACCGGCAGCAGTGTCATCGTCTCCAGGGGACCCTGTGTCCACGGCTCCTCATTCCGCAGCCAGGAGAAGTTGGCAGGGCTGCCGGCTGCCTCTCGACTCACAACACACTTTAGGGTCACCTCGACTCCTTCCCGCGGCGTCTCGGATGGTCTGATGACCACGACGGTGGCTGCGGGCAGGCAGCACAGGCTGGCTTGGACCACCTCCACAGCCCCCAGGGCCTGGGAGAGGGGAAGAAAGAGCGCCTGGGGGTGCTCACAGGGAGGGCAGCCTGGGGTGCGCTGCAGGAGGAGGAGCCCAGGGTCTCCTGCTGTCCCCTGCCCGAGCCCAGCGCCAGCACCAGGGCCGGCTCTACCCACTCTCACTGCCTTGCCCCGAGTGGCTCAGCCTGCTGGAGGCGCCTCCAGCCCAGCCCCACGTCCTCCCCGCCTGCCCTGCTCGCTCACCCTGGGCGTTGAAGGAGACGGAGGCAGAGGCGCTGCCCAGGGTGTTGTTGGCCTCACACACGTACTCCCCCTCGTCCTCCAGCACTGGCTCGCGAATCTCCACGCGCAGCGAGTTGGGGGCCGAGGTGACTTTCACTCGCGGGGAGCAGGTGGCACAGCTGCCCCCTGGCGGCAGGGAGGTGGCCACCACGCGGGTCTCGTGCAGCAGCCGCAGCTGGGCAGGGGGGTCGCTGTCCACCTGGCACGACAGGAGGCCTCGCTGCCCAGCGCCCGCTTCAGCAGCCTCGGGGTCCAGGTGGGCAGTGAACGCGGGCCGACGGGGTGGGTCTGGGGAGGGCATGAACACGAGCCTTGTTGTGCCTTGAGGGTGATTTGGTTCCTGAATTCATCCAGGAATTGAAGGCACCCCATCTCAAGTTGGCAAGTGTCACCCAGGTGTGGTGTTAAGGGACAGGGCCGTTGGAAGGCACTGGATTGGATCAGGTGGCTGCAGTGGCACTTCTATGACCAAATCCTCCTGGTCCCACGGGGCCACTCGCAGCTGGCTAAGCACGGGACACACGCCAGACACAGACATAGTCCCAGACACAAAGTCCAGTCGTGCAAGCTGTATACTGCCCAAGGGCCCCAGGCCAGGGCATGTCAGATACCGCCCCTGTTCCTTGTCCCAGACTATAACCCGTCCCTTCCACACGGCCCTAACCTGACAGGGAACCTTCCTCAAACCAGTCTCCAAACTGTCTTCCATTTTAACCAAAAGTGCCCACAATGGCCTCTTTCCAGAGGTTCCTGGAGAACCAGTTGGGGCAACCAGCAGTTCACACCCCAGCATCCCATCTCCAGTCCTGGCTCCACTTCCTGCTTAAGTAGACCCTGGGAGGCAATAGGTGGGGCCCCTACTGGGACCAGAGGGTAAGATGCAAAAGACGCAAGGGAACCCAGAGGCCCATGTGGGCCGGTCTATGATGGCCCAGGGTCAGACGCAGTCAAGTGAGCCCTCCAGGGCAGATGAGGGTGGGGTGGGTCCCCGTGGGCTTCCGTCTCCCTCCCGCCCTGCAGGCAGTGGCTGATGGGATGCCACTCACGGAGCACGGTGAGGATGGCAGGCGAAGAGGGGCCGCTGGCGCTGAGGCTGCCCTGGGCCCGGCAGTAGTAGGAGCCGGCGTCGGAGCTGGAGACAGCGGGCAGCAGGAGGCTGCTGCTGGGCCCCTCGAGGAACAGGACCCCATTCCGGTACCAGGAGAAGCGGGTGTCAGACGTGGGTACCAGGCCACTGCTACAGCTCAGAGTCACCACCTGCCCTTCCACCACCTGGGTCGCAGGGCTGATAAGGAGGCGGGCCACTGGTGGGAGAGGGATGGGGGAGGCTGCGGAGGCTGGGAACCCCCACCCCCACCCATGCCTCCGCTGTAGGAAGCCCTCCAGGCAAGGCTCCTGCATCCCGCAGCTGGAACTTGCCACCTGCCTGGAGTGGCTGTCGAGAATGCCAGGCTGCAGCTTTTAAGAGCGGCTGGCACGGTATGTTTGACGCAGAACCAGCCACCAAAGTTTAACATATGTTTAAAAACAAGAAAATGCCTCCAAGGGGGCTCTCCAACTTCAGTCAGAGAGTGTGCGGAAGGGACACAGCAGCACGCTCCATATTTCCCTTGTCATCCTGGCTACTGGGAAGCTCTGAGGCCCAGCTGACCAGCAAGCTCCCCAGATTCCCAGAAGGAGGAGGCCACAGCAGGTTCCCTGCCTCCAGGCTCCCCTCACTGCCCCTTGGCCAGCCCCCGGCTGTTCTCACCATTAGCATGGAAGTCCAGCGTAGTGGTGGAATTTCCAAGGGAGTTGGTGGCTGTACACTGGTACTCCCCATCGTCGGCTGGCTCCAGGTTTCGGATCTCCAGGTGCAGGGCATTGGGGGCCAAGGAGATGCTGAAGCGGGGCCCGGGGTCATTCTCCCCAGTGGAGGAAGCCAGGATCAGGCCCTTATGAGACAGCGTCAGAGTGGCCAGGGGCTCGCTGACCACGGAGCAGTGCAGGATGCCCATGAGGCCCGTCTGCGTCTCCAGGAAAGCCGTAAGCTCCGGGACGAGGGGTGCGTCTGTGTGAAGACCAGACACAGGCCTGTCACCCCAGGCAGGGCAGTGCTGGATCACCCCTGGCCTCTTTGCCCTGTGACAGCCTGGAGCAGGGACCAAGCTCAGGAGCCGCGGGGTCAGGCCAAGCACATCCCTCCACTGTCCCAATGGGCATCCCACAGTGGGCATCGCCCTAAAGACAGGAGACCTGGCTGGATCCTCTGAGCCGAGTGATGAGAATGAGTGACATGGGACAAAGCGTGCCTAGGGACACACAGCTTGGCCTCCATCCACTCGACTCATGCATACGTACACACACACGGACACGCCACAACTGGCCTGCACGCTACACAGATTCAATGCAAGACAGACACAGAGCCACTGAGGTCATCACAACTTAAAGGAGACGCAGCTGAGTACCCCACTCGATCAGGACATCATCGGCCCAGCTGATGAAATCAGAATACAGGCTCTAGGTTACATCTCGCTTTTGTGCTGTTCTTGCACTGTCAACTCATTTACAAAAAGCAGTGTCTTCAAAGAAAAGGAATCCCCAGGAGGTCAAACTTACCCAGCTATGCAACCGGCCACAACATCTGCATCTGGGTGGAGCAGCCTCAAAACCCCCAGAGCCCCCAACCCCCAGCCCCGCCTACAGCACCATGCTCAGGCCTTGCCCTGCAGCCACCTCCCCACCCGGCCACCTCCAGCACTCACGGTTGACCACGACGCTGACGGGGCCGGAGCGCTCACGGCCCTGGGCGTTCTGCACCTCACAGGCGTAGAAGCCGGTATCGGCCCTGCTGGCCGAGGGCAGCAGCAGCGCGCGGGCGTGGGCGCCCTGCAGCAGCACCTGGTTCTTGTACCAGCTGTAGTGGAGCTCGCTGGGGCCCTCCGGCGGGGTGTTGCACAGCAAGGTCACCGCCTGCGTCTCCAGAAATGGGCCGGCCGGGTTCACCTGGACCTCAGCCACTGCAAGGGCAGCGCGGGGCTCTTTGGTGGACTCCTGGGTGACCACCGGCCCAGAACCCTCCGAGTCCCCTTGTGATCAGCTTCTAGCTCTGCCCACACATCCCACCCCCCCCTCGCCCCCCCCCCCCCCCCCCCGCAGCTTCGCTTTGTGGCTTTCTGCAGGCTTCTCTCGCCAACTCCCTATGCTGCCATCTCTCAGAGAAGCAGGACTGGAACTCCACCTCCCAGGAGGCTCTGGGCCTCGGTCAATTTCTGCCTCTGTTCTGGCCTCGCGGCCCCAGCCCCCACAGCCCATCCCAGTCCCTGCTCACACAGGACTCACTGAATACGTGCAGGCTGAGAGGAGGGGAGATGGAAGAGCCCACCCGGTTCCCAGCATGGCAGGTGTACACGCCAGCATCACTCCAGGCCACCTGGGACAGCTGCAGCACACGACTCTTGGCCTCCAGGTGCAACCCGTCCTTGGTCCACTGCACAAAGTTCACCTCCGGGTAGCTGGCGTTCACCAGACAGGTGAGAGTGACCAGGTCCCCTGGGAGGATGTTGCGGTCCGAGGGGCTGAGGAGTACCTGTACACCCTTGGGGGCATCTGCAAGGCATGATGGGAATGCTGGGTAAGGTGTATGCAGAGGACAGGGCCAGACCAGGCACACTTCTTGCCTCCCTTTCAGAGCTGCCTGGCACAAGTTCACCTGGAAAAAAGACGCTTCCTTCCCCAATAACCTCCAGAGCAGGCCGGGTCTCTCAGCCCTATCTTCTCTTTTTCTTTGTTCTTCAAAGATTTATCTATCTATCTATTGATTATTTATTTGAAAAGCAGAGTTACAGAGAGATCTTCAGTCTACTGATTCACTCCCCAAGTGGCCACAATGGCCAAGGGCTGGGTCCGGTCAAAGCCAGGAACTTCTTCTAGATTTCCCACATGGGTGCAGAGCCTCAAAACCTTGGACCATCTCTGCTGCTTTCCCAGACCATAAAGAAGGAACGGAATGGGAAGTGGAGCAGATGGGACTTGAAACCAGCGCCCACATGGGATGCCAACAGCTCAGCCCACTGTGCCACAGAGATTCCTCCTTGGCTTCCCACCTGCTCTGCTCTCTGGGTGGGTCACAGGTACCACCCTGTGATAGTGGCCTGCAGTCACTGTTGGCAAGGGACGAGGTCCCAGTTTTGAGCAGGCCAGGGCAGCCTCGTTAGCTCTGAGAAGAGGTGGCCGTTTTGTAAGGCCGGGCCAAGGGCAGAAGATGTTCACACTTCTTACTGTCTTATTCAGAGCCTCTGTGTGACTAAGCTCTCAAGTTCACATTGTCACCTGTTCGCACAGGTGAGAGTGGAGACTGGGCGCAGGGACCCCGCTGTGGGGGTGTCTGCCCACCTGTGGAGGGGCAGCAGCCACATGCCAATGCATGGTGGTGGCCAGGAATGGACTGCCAGGCACAGGCCCAGCCTCTGGCAGCCCCTGAGCTTTCTCCCTGCTGACTGTGGGCCACATGGGGTACACCCTGATGGGCGCGGTCATGAGCAACTCACACAGCTTAGCCAGGAAAGAGACAGCGCATCTGCCCAGCACCCATGCAGCCGGCTGCAGGCACTCCTACCCACTCCCAAGGCTACCCAGGAACTCCTGTCCCTTTCTCTTCCCAGCCTGGCCTCGAAGACAGACCCCTGGAAAGCTGGCATGAGGCTGGAGGGCACCATTGGGCCTGGCTCTCTCCACCTGCCTTGCCCGCCCTGGCAATGCCCAGCTGTGCTTTGGGTGGTGGCTGAGGAGGAACTGGTTCCCATGTGGTGCTGAGGTGTGGCCCCCACACACTTACACTGAACGTGGAGGCGGGTCTCTGCTTGCACCTTGCGGTTGGCCACTGAGAGCTGGCAGTGCAGGGCACGGTCGTGGTCCTCCCAGGTCAGTGCCATGTGGAGGGTCTGCAGGTGACTGATACCAGTGGGCTCAAGGCTCAGGTGATTGGATGTGACAGAGCGGCTGGGGTCCTGGCCCTGCCACTGCAGGCTGATCTGCCCTTCTAGGCATGCATAGGGCGTGGAGCAGTTCAAGTCCACGGCCATGCCCTCACGAAGCTCTGTAGGGAAGCTGATGGTGGGCACCACAGGTTCCTCTGAGGACAAAAAACAGGTGCGGTCAGTTCTCCTCTTGGGCACACCTGAAACCTAACCAAGGGGACGGTCTGGGCAGAGAGCTTCAAGGGGGAGCCCCACATGGGAGGGAAGACCAGCACAGGGGCCAGGCCAGGGCCTGGAGGTGAGGGTGAAATAGGGCCAGGGGTTGGGTTTGTGAGCAAATGGGGCCCAAAGTAACTTGGGCCAAAGTAACACCCTTCCGGCCAGCAGGCAAGCCTCCCCCCCCCGCGCCCCCTGCCCAACTCACCTGTGACAGTGACTGAGGTCCCTTGGCTATCTGACCAGCGGTTGCCCTCGCTGATCTCGAAGCGGAAGTTGTAGGTGCCCGAGTCCTCGGGCTTCAGGTCCCGAAGCAGTAGGTTGCACGTGTAGTGCTTTGTGTTGCCCAGCAGCTGGGCACGTCCTTGGAAGCGCGCCTCCACTAGCTTGGGGTCTGCGGAGTGGGTCACCACCTGCCGGCTGCCCGAGTAATCATAGTACCAAATGGCGGTGATGCCTTGGTCGGTCACCTGCACGCTGTCCGGGAAGCTGAAGATACAGGGGATGAGCAGGCAAGATCCCCGCACGCCCTGCACAGTCCTGGGGCTGGAGACACCCCACGAGGCCTGGCCTACGGAGTGGAGCAATAGAAACAGAGAGGAGACAAAGCTGGTGGGGTGAGGGCACCACAGAGCTGAAGGGTAGCAGAGCCCTAGGTGGGGGCACCGCAGAGCTGGGGGGTGGCAGAGCCCCAGGTGGGGGCACCACAGAGCTGAAGGGTAGCAGAGCCCTAGGTGGGGGCACCACAGAGGTGGGGGGTAGCAGAGCCCTAGGTGGGGGCACCGCAGTGGTGGGGGGTGGCAGAGCCCTAGGTGGGGGCACTGCAGAGCTGAGGTTGGAGGTGACAGATCCCTAGGTTGTGGGGCAGAGCTGGGATGGGGTGGGGAGGGCGGCAGACCCCTCAGGGTTGCCCTGGAGCAGTCCCAGGGGGTTAGGCTCACCTGATGGAAGCAGGGAGAACAGGAGGAGCAGCCGGAGCGGGAAGGCCATGGTGGAGTCCCTGCTGGTACTCACACCCAGCCAACCGGGCACCCAGGGCCTCGCAGGGGCGACGGGGGCTGCTGCAGCTCGGCGTCCTGGCCAGAGGGAGGACAGGGCTCTTAGGAGCTGTGGGCCAGCCACCAAGCTCAGGCTATGCCCAGGAGTTCTCAGGGAGCCTGCTGTGTGGCCCTTGGATTCACTCCAAGTTCTGCTTCCGCAGCCCCTCCATCCCCCCACCCCAGGGCAGAAGAGCGGTGGTTTCTCCCTCCTCCCACCCTTTCCTGCCCTCACCAAGTCAACAGGAACTGGAGTCAAGAGAGTGCCCAGTGAGAGTGACAGCTTGCTGCCTGGGACTGGTCTTCCCATCAGCAGCTTGACCTGCTAGAGGCGGCAAGGGGCTGCCTGCGGGAGTCCCTTCCCTGCTCCCTGATATGAAAGATGCTAGCTGCCTCCTCCCTGCAGACCATGGGCTGGAAGCCTCACTCCATCTCCAAGACAAGGCATGAAGGTGACAGTCAGCCGGAAGGTCCCCTGTGGGGTCTATTCTGCCGTCCCTGGACCTGCCTCACCCTCAGCACTGTGTGAATGGCCATTCCTTCATGTATCCTATGAGACTTTAATATCCAGACTACATAGAGAAACCTTGCAACAAAGAAGCAGCACAACTGAGAGCTAAGCAAGGGACTTGGACAGACACACCTCCAGGAAAACAGCCGGATGGCTGAGCCACCTGAGCCAGAGGACCACGCGAACCACACACTACAAGCCTGTGTTACAACAGCGGACACATCCCGCGAGGCAGTGCCTGGGCTCAACTCACAGCCCCTGCTCCTGCCAATGCAGACCCCGCGGGGTAGTCATGGCAGCCAGATGAATGGGTTCCTGCTACTCACAGGGGAGCCCTGCCGGAAGTGTCCGGCTCCTGCCTTTGGCTCCACCTGGGCCTGGCCACCATGGACATTTTGAAAATGAAACAAGCAAACGCAAATGCTGTCTCTGAATGTGCCTATCTATTTGTTTGAAAGGCCAGTGCCCAGTGAGACTAGTTCTCCAATAGGAGTTATTGGTGTTCCAAATGGCATCTTACCCCATTGCACCACAATGTTCACCCTAACAAATAATTTTTAGAAACCCAAATAAGGGAGCAGTGACATGGTATAGCAGGCTAATCCTATGCATGCGGTGTTGGCATCTCATGTGCGGGCTGGTTTGAGTCCCAGTTCTCCACTTCTAACCCAGGTTCCTGCTCATGGCCTGGGAAAGCAGCAGTGCTTGGGACCCCATGCAGCAGACCTGGAAGAAGCTCCTGGCTCCTGGCTTCAGCTCAGCTCAGCTCTGGCTATAGCAGCCATTTGGGGAGTGAACCAGCAGATGGAATATCTCTCTGTGTGTCACCCCCACCCCACCTCTGTAACTCTCACTTTCAAGTAAAAGAAGTAAATCTTCTTAAAAACTAAAAACCAAAAAGCTGGCCAAAGGTGAATGACCAGCACGCTGTGGTCTAACCACACAGAGAAGTACGAATCAGCCCCTAGAAGGAACACGGCACACAACAACATCAAAAATGCCACGCTAGGACTGGCGTGATAGCTCAACTGGCTCATCTTGAGCCTGCAAGCATTGCAACCCAGAAGGGTAATGGTTCATGTCCCAGCTGCTCCACTTCCCTTCCAGCTCCCTGCTTGTAGCCTGCAAAAGCAGTTGAGGATGGCCCAAAGCCTTGGGAAACCGCAACCGCGTGGGAGACCTGGAAGAAGCTCCGGGCTCCTGGCTTCAAATTAGCACAGCTCCAGCCATTGCAGTCATTTGGGGAGTGAAGCAGCAGATGAAAAATCTTTCTTTCTGTCTCCCCATCTCTCCATAAACCTGCCTTTCAAATAAAAATAAACACATCTTTTTAAAAATGTACATATACAACAAACACCATGCTAGGGAAATGGGCTAGGTGCCAAGGTAACTGTTGTGCAATTCTACTTTTCCAGAAGTTCTGGAACACACAAATTCATAGCAGAAGTGATTGGGGCTGGGGAGGGAGAGGGGGGAGTGGGTTTTTCTCAAGCACTGAGAATATTCTGGAACTAGCCAGTGGGGATGGTTACACATCATTGTGTAAGTACCGGGGGCCCCTGAATCATACACTAAAGACAGCCTAGAGGTCAGCTCCGTGCAAAGTGGATTCAGCACACACACTTTGCGGACTTGGCAGTCCTCTCGGGTCCTAGATGCTGACTCGACAGGGGAGGAGCGGTGCCTGGGAGGCTGGAAGTGGGACAGGAAACCCAGCATATTTCCCGGCCCCTCTGCCTCGGAGGGCTGGGGCAGCTGACATGATGGATAGGGGCTACCAAGTGACACACCTGTGGAGGGGCTGTGCAGGATGTCCCGGCAGGGAGCACCTCCCAGGCAGCTGGGATGGGGAGGATCCTGCTGCTCCCCACACCGCTGATCTGATCACTTGCAAGCCCAGTTCCTAGGACAGCCTAGCCCTACTCCTCTTTCAGGAGGATGTGCGTAAGTCTCCATATTGTACCCTCAGCCTGAGCATATTTGAGGTGGTTGTGGCCCTGGGGCCTCAGGAGCCACGTAGGGTGTCAGGGTCTGTGCCCCTGCCCCTCCCACTTGGGGTCCTGGAAAGGGCGATGCTACACTTTAGTGGAGGGATGGTGTGGCCTGAACCTGACCCCAGAATGGAGCACGCAGGGGGCGGATCTTTCTAGAATCACCCAAATATCCTCCATTAGATATCATACATGCCCAGCCCGGTGCTAATACCAAAGGGAACAGCCCCCCTCCGACCCTGGTGGCACAGCTAGAGACCTCCGCTGGAAAAAGACAAGAGAGGGCACAGTCTGTGTGAGGGAGAGCCTTGACGCTGAGTGAAAGCCCCTGCCTGTAGGGAGGTTGTTCAGTGCCTCCTGAGTCCTGGGAATGAGGGGGGAGCACCAAGCAAGGAGCCCTGGGACCACCACACCTCCCTTGGGTGCACGCCCTTCGGCAAAGCATCGCTCCCCGACCCCCCAATGTGAGTCTCTGTACCTGAATCCTCTAAAGGGCCTTGACTTGAGGTACATGGCCTACTACATGGTGATACCCATTTTTGCTGCCTGGCTGATGCCAAGGGTGCTAGATGTCCAAGCAGACCGAAACACGGAGTCCTTGACCTGTGACCCCGCGGGCTGAGGCCAGTGGGGAAGCAGGGCCAGCTGTGCCAGGGAGGACAGCTTCAGTTTCTGTTTCTTGGGGCCAGGACTCCTCTGCAACTTCCCTGAGCACTGCAGAAGGAGGTTACCCAAGCAACGAGGCCAGCTGGAGGGCCCCGGCCTGCAGAGCAGGAATCAGCGGTCAGCCCCAAACTCAGGATCCCATTCACAACGTCCGTGAGCTTCGACATGAGTCATGGCCAGTTCACACTCCTCCTTAGCTGGCTCCAAAGGCCCCTAGCCGGAGCCTCCACCCCACCAAATGGTTTCTATGGTCTGCACAGAACCAGGGGCTCCTCCTGCAGACCCCTAAAATAGTGATGAAGGAAGTGGAGCAGGAGTGGGGTTAGAGTGAAGGATAGATTAGGGTAAGCTTGGGCCAGTCTCGGGGGGGTTGGTTAGGTTGGGATCTAGCATGGAATGAAAACTAGAATTGAGAGTGACAGAGAGGTGACAGCAATAGGGCTGGGGTAAGGTGAAGGTTGTAGCTGTGTGCAGGTGGCAGCGAGGAAGTTGGATGGGCTGGGTTAGGCTGACAAGTTGGCTGTGATTAGATGCCAATGACGGTCAGCAAATGGTTGACTGGGCTGTGAGTTTTAGAGGTTTGGGGTTTGAGTATAGCTTTGATTAACCCCCAGCTCAGCCCACTCCCAATGCACAACACCCTCCAGGCCCGGGGGGTGGGGGGGAGCAAAGTGTACCTGCTCGGTGGGAGGAAGTGGCTGCTGGACTGCCACACTGGCCGAAGGACGGAAAAGGAGAGCTCTGCTCTCCCCAGGAAACAAGCCAGCTGGGGTGGGGTCTGGGCAGCGTCTTCCTCTTTCCCTAGAGCCCCAGTTGTGTGCGTTCCGGAGGCTGCTTAGGGAGGCAGCTGTGTAGGCCTTGTGCAACACCAAGACAGGAAAGCCCTCCAGGAGGAGGACAGCCCCGCCAGAGGCCCAGGACTTTGGAACTTCCACCAGCAGCAGTGTGATCCCAGCCACGCTGGAACCTCTTCAAGCAGTGGGGTAGAAGGCAGGATGTGCCCATTCGCCAGCCATGGCCTCACTCTCTTTCATCTGTGGGAGACAGAGGGGCAGCTGGGAGGCGTGTTCCACTCACTCCCCTCAACCAACAGCTGAGAAGGGAGCCACCCCAACCCAGCCTGGGCTGTAGGTGGAGGCGTTTACTCTCCCAGCCCTTTGAGGGGGCCTTTCTTCACTCCCCCCACCCCCACCACACTGCTCTAAGAGTGACCAAGAAGTGTGGCCTCCTGTGGGGTCCCTGGGGCTTCCACATAACCAACAGCACCTCAGGGTGCTTCCTCCCCACCCCTCACCCTACCCTGCCTGTCATATGCCTTCAGCCCCGTTTTGAGGCAGAAAAGGAAAGTCCCTACCCCAAACACTGGACCTGTTTTCCCGAGGGCCTCCTATTCCACAAGCTCACCATACAGGGGCGAGACAGGTGCTAAAAGCTCTAGGCAATCCCAGACACAAGAGTGTCTGCTCAGTGGGACAACCCAGCCTCACTTAGCTACTGCCCCTGCCTATCGGGCCCTTGGGCCCTGTGGACAAAGTCACAGGCTGTGCCACGGCTTGGAGACAAATCCAGCGGCCTCACACTCAGAAAACCTCAGACGGTAGAGACCAGCTACTTGGCTACTCCCCCATCACTCTCACATCTACTCCTAAGCTGGGGTCATTTCCACCTCAGATCAGATCAAAATATCAAGTGTTCATCCTGAGGCTTCCCGCCTGGAAGGCTGCCACTCCCCTGCCCAGCTCTGGGCCTGGGGCTGTCACCCCTGCAGACCAAGGCAGTCATCTTCCCCAAGCCTGCCCCACCTCAGGTAGGCCTTCAGCAGTGACATACTCCTCCAAGGG